TATATATATATATATATATATATATATATATATATATATATATAAAGTGTAACTCGAAGTAACAAAAGTCTTACCATGCGAAAATTGAAGTTAGGTACTCTTCAATATTTGAATCTTTAGGCCAAAAAAACGAAAGTGTAGTGTAATATTTTAGAAATATTAGCAAACTGTATTCTTCATTGTTGGCTGCGAATTGTCATTATGTCCTATTTCAAAATTCTTTTTTTCTAGGACTCATTTCAATTAAGAAATTTTTGAACAGAGGTTTTTTTGAGATATTATTTTAAAATGGATAGCCAAGTGTAGTTATTAAATGTTTGAAGTTGGAGGCTCTTCCAGAATCAATCAGGAAGCAATGTTGTGGGTATTGTACATGCTAGTCGTTCTCCATCAGTTGAAGCAGTATTAGTTGCTGTATCACTAACTAAAAAAGATGTTGAAGCACTGGCTGTGACACTTGCTTTAGCAACGTTTTGTCGAGGTTTTTATTTTTTGTTTTCGATCACTCAGTAATAAAGATTTCATTACTTTTCAAGAATAAATTTGCAAAATTTTGAGCCAATTTTGCAGTTGTCGATGCATGCAATTATTATTTACTTCCAGAACAAATATATTGGGCACGTGATATTCATTTCGTTTTCGTAGATAAGGGCTTAATTGGAATGACGGCATACCTTGATGAATATTATGGGCACCGCCACCCATTCTTGCGAATTAAACAGTTACGTTTTCATAGCGGTGCAATTGTGGGTGCATTTGCAGTGAAAGCTAAAGGTTCACGGTTTGATTCAGTAAACATCGAGTATAACATGGTAAATGGCTTATTACCGAATCTAGATTTGATTAATTTGATGGTAAGACTTGCTGATAAATATGGATTGGTACCTCAAGTTTTCAATCATGGAAATCAGAATTCATGGATCAATCTATTTCAGACAACTAGTAAAGCTGTGATAAATCAGGTATTTAATTTTTAAAACTATTCTTTATATATAATTTTGAGAACCTCAGGATGCTGCTGTTACCTCACGTTTATTGTTTTGATTATTTACTGGATCCGAAATTGGTAGTCTGATGGGCAAATGAAATTTTAGATGATCTCAATATTTTTTAGCACTCTTAGTAATTCTTTATCATTCCTACTATTGTTTCAGGCATTTGTTGAAAAAGAGGGTTTGCATAGCATTTTCGGAGCATATGGCATACAAGCAGTAACATTATACTTTAAAAATGATGTAGAAGGGCATGCATCTCTCATGGATTTAATTCGAATATGTGAGGGAGCGTTGAGGTTTTTTTGTGATTTGATTTTGTATAACTTATTCACCATTACTTAATATGATGTCGTTACTTTTTTTATCGAGTGTTCATCAGTCTAAAATTTCGAATGTACTATCTGTAAACAGTGTATTCCTCATTATTCTTACGTGTATAGTGAGTACTAAAATTAATCACACATTTGAGAGTCAGTCAACTATATTATTCTTATTATTTTTTAATTCAAGTTTTTAAAGGTCTTTGAACAATATGTTGGAAAAGTTTCATCAGTCATATTTCTTGTATATATTAACAAATGTGCGTAATTTTCTTTCGGTCGCTTATTTTATGCCAGCTTTGGGTCTGATTCTGTTTTCCATGATAATACTGGTAAGTGGAAGCTTATTAAGTTTCTGTTTAAATGTACTGAACTAATTAAATCATTAGGAACTATTTTTTTAACTAAGTTCGTTAAATGTCGGAACAGTTCCGGTACTTAAAAGCAACTATCCTGTGCATTCAGTCATAGTTTTATACTTTCGTCGAATATTATTTGAATAATTGAGCATAGATGGAATAATATGAAAGGAATTTGAAGTTTTTGTTTCAAAATTTTGGAACCATATTTCACGAGATCTCGCTCACTTTTTATCACAGTTCATTGATGTCTATATCTGCTATAATGGAGAATGATTTTCAGTTCCCAATGGATTCAGTGAAGATATTTTTGAAAAACGGAATTACTTTATGCAATTCAATTATTTTCGCGTTTTAGGCACTTCGTCATTGGTACGACATAACGGAATTTTATTTTCCGAACTCTTTTGTCATTCTTCATTTTATTGGATTAATCCAATATTGCTGCATCAAAAATGTTGCTATATCGAGTACTTATTCTTCATACACAGTTTCGCTGCTCTTATTTTTTGCACTTGTTCCACAATACTGCTTTATTCCTCTGTAAAATTTTTCAGTTTCTCTTTTTTCCAGTGACGCATTTTTGTTAGTTTAAGCAACGCAATAAGAAGTAAAGAAAGCTTAATTTATTTAAGACTTTAATTTAGAAAGAAAATATCATTTGTTTGGATTTATTCATGTGAAAAAAATTTATATTTCGGTTCGTTATTTTAACTCAATTGTTGATCTTTTCTTTATGCAACAAAATAGCTTTCAGCATATAATCCATGTAGGAAATAATTTTTCATCCAAAGCAAAGTCCTACTCGTGAAGAACAATAATGTTTCTTAATAGTGAGAAATAATCATTTTAGAAGACAGAGGGAGCTTGTTTCTTTCAAGTTTTTGTTTTATTTGGATTACTGTCTTGTATTTGGATCAATTTCGCTTCTGAATTTTTCGTTGGCATATATTATTTCGTTGATTGCTATCCCGTTAATAGTTCTATTTACAGCTGTGGATATCCGTGATCGGCAAGCAACATTTTCTCTTTATAGCTTTATTTGATTTGAGTATAGTTGAATTTGAAAGTATAATAAGCTGAAGAAAATATGATTAGAATTTCTAGACTGCTCAATATTAATAACGCAGTATTAAAAAGCTTGGAATCATTCATTCAATAATCATGCTTTCCGTTCTGTCATGATAATTATGCTTCTGTTTTGTCATGCTTATTTTAGATCCATTCCTTCCCAATTAGTTTTCATTTCAGCAATGTTTCTCACCAGTATTACTTTCCATTTACTTACATTTGTCATAATAGTATTGCAAGGCACTCGTTTTAAATTTTTATGGACCCTTTCCTAAAATTCACGCTAAAGAATAAGTATTAAGAACAGAATCTCTATTTCAGGACATTCAATGTTTGCATAGCCTTGTCTAGTGTTTTTACACATCCATTTGGCATTTACTTGTTATGTCGCTATCTTTTTGACGGTACTGTTCCAACAAAGACATATTTGATACACTTCGGCAATGATCTCATCAAGAATCATCTTCTTTACGGCAGCTTTATTCTACCGTTCATTTATACTTGTTTATTACCCCTATGGAACATGTTGATGATAATCTCATCAAAACTTGTGAGTTTCTCGTTCAGATTTTGTTTATTGTGACTACAACGAATACAGTGAAAACTAGTTCAGAGCAATGCTTCTTAGTGATTAAATTTTTTCTCTGATAAAAAGGAGACATCTCAATTTTGTTTGAGCAAAAAAAATGTCTCTACAATTTTTTGATTTCAATTTTATTCACATTTCTATCATTTCTTAGAATCGTTTTTTAAAATATTAGTTACATATTTTTTAAATATATATTGATAGGTAGTTACTGCTAAAAACCCACAGCTATTTACAAAGTTGCAGCATGTTACTGAAGAACTGTTGTGCCACGACGAAGCAGACAAGCATGAGGGTAAGATTTATCAGGAAGAATGAACTTGAATTGAAAAATTCAAACGTTTAACATTCTACATTTGGATACAATTTTTAGACGAATACTGCTAATTGAATAAAATGTGAATCATATGAAATTTTAATTTATTTACCATTTAAATGCTCTTTTAGATATTTTATGATTTTCTTAACAGTCACATGCTTCAAACTGTGATTTTCATCATTATTCCCATGTGTCATAAGAATTGTCAACAGGGAAATAATTATAATCGATGGACATATTGGAAATGAAATTCAGCAGTGTACTGAATGGTACCCGGCCGCCTGTAACGTCTAGTTGTTGAAGAACATTATAAATCTCCTCCCGCGACATTTTTTCCCCAACTGTTGACAGAATACCGATGAATTCAAGAACTGTAATCCATCCTTGATTTCTTGGATCGATCCCATGTAATGCACCAATTATCTCTTGTAGAGGATCACCTTTTTGATTTTCCTTATGCAAAATCTCCAGAAATGATGGAAAATTAAGTTTTTGTCCTAAAATAGTAGATTCAGCTGCTGATTAACGCTATAAAATATTGAAGAGATTGGGTACTGGTTAAGCGATCAGTATGCTACAAGCACTAATGTTCTATCTCTAGCGGAATTATGATAAATAATGCTTATGCCTTATTGAAAAACACTAATAAATACCATATTCACGGAAATATTGTATTGTTTCCGGAATGGTGGGAATATAACCCAGGCTACGCATTACATAGCGCAAGTGAGATGCATTTTGTATATACCCATTGGAACAGTAAAGCGCGAAACATTGTCGGTACTCTGCAAGTCATATCATCTACCTCTGGCAATTAAAAATCTGAACAGTATAAATAACGCGGTACTTTGGGAATATTGATCAAATGAGCTCTGAGTTATTTTGTAATCTGTTTAAAGTTTTATTAGAGTTTGATCTGTACATATTCCATACTCTCAGAAAATTGAACAGCCTGATCAGCAATAAACATTATGCTGTCATTACAAACATTAGGGAGTTCATGTCTTCAAGTCCATATTTTCATACTACAAAATCAATTTTTGAAAATTGTGAGTCCAAGTGTAGTGGTTTCGAAGCCTTGTTAAATTATAATAGGTATGTCATTTAGGAAATACCTTCGATTCGCGGTTGTGTGAAATACTGAGCCTGAAAGTAAATTCCTCTATCGAAAACAGTCGTTTCTGTTTCTAGAAAACATTAATGGTAGTCTGGGATCTTAAGTAACTTTCCGAAACTCCAAAAACTGAAAAACGAATAAGACAATTTATAAGTAACCATACCATTGACGAGAACGTCGTGAGCCGATCACAGGTTAATCCCGTTAAGGTTCTGGAAATATAAATGAATATCAAAGGAGAAGGAGGAAATTTTTGGAGCGAAACGACATAATGAAGTGTCCCAGTGACCTTGTTCATCAACGGTACACGATCACAAACCAGCCACAAATACAGTGCAGTCTCAATTTGTGCTGCACTTCTGAATGATTAGTTCCTTTTGTATCACACGAATGTCGAGCACCAACGTTAATACGGAGTGACCTTGTAGTCTCATTGATCCGCTCGTCACAATACTAATCGATCTCATCGATTTAATGACAATACGCACTACACTAATGAAGAAAGTTTGTTATTTTTCCTTATTTTCTAATCTCTGCTGCGCAGCTGACTTTTCTCTTTTGCTGTGCCTTGTGTTGCTAAACTCCGATTTATTTTATGTACTTATATATAAATCACAATTGTTTCATCACAAGCGGTGTATAGAAGCATCACCTCTAAAACTATCTGCATCTGTTAACGTTACTTCTTCCTGAAAATGATTTATCCGCAAAATTATCAAAAATTCTCAAATTTTATAATCCGCACAGGACCATGCAAAAATTACACTGACGTGCTCGAAAGTTTGATTTACTTTATTTAATAGAGAATAAAATACTGGAAAAGATAGAATGAATGCACCTCATCATCAGGATGCTCTAATTTTTTTCGCCAATCTTCTTGACCAAGACGAGTGGTTGATTCCATATAAACTAAAACGAACAACATAATAGAACGAAATAAAAAATTTAATGCTGCCAGAAAATTAAAAATATAAAAAATCAGAATGGAAATGCTGTTGTACAGAAGAAAATTATAAATCGAAATTTAATTCGAAAGACAGGCCAGCAATTTCTTACAAATAGAGTGCTGCACGTAATCTTTTGCTAAATCTTTAGCACGATCCTGACTAAACATGCTATCTTCAGCAAGATTCCGTCTTTTCTCTATTACTTCTTTTAACATCTCACTTTTCTTCTTCTCTGTCTCGATAATATTACTCATTCGAGCGCTAAAATATTGAATATTGAAGAATCAATGGTGATTTGTTAATACAATATAACTTAGTGTACATTAAAATAGAAGATATATCGAATGAGGAACGAAACTTTCTTCAAGTAATGAAATATAGAATCATAATGATATTGCTTCACTATAAACTGACATACGAACAAAATGAGAGATAGCTTACTTAATGCCCAAATCTACTTCAGGGATTCCAGCAAGCATTTGATTGGATAACAGCTCATCATTACGTTCACTTCTGAATAATCGAACTTTTTCAGCCGCTTTCCACATCAAAATATCATCTACACTAGGAACTTTAGACTAAAATTAGAAAAATTTACTTCATTACTGACAATCGAATGCCTTTTGGTACGTTAAATATTGACACGGAAAATGCAAAAGTCAAAACTGAAGTTCCATCTCAAAGAATATTTAAGACCTTTGTTGCATCTTTATCATCAAGCTCTCGCATTGCTTTTCGTTTACGCAATTCTGCCTGTACATATTTTTTCCTGGAAATGAGAGCATATTTAATTTCGTAACACATAAATCTAATAACTATTTACACAAATGCATACGGATAATTGATAAAGTGAGACAAAAACTGAAGTCAAAAAAAAATCTTTCCGTAAAACTTACTAATCATATAAGTTGTTAAACAAAGAAACATGTTATCAGTTTAGCTTTTTCGTATAATTATTGCTCTAAAATAATGAACAAAACAGCTATAATCAGCAGACGATGTTGAACTAAAGTATTTCTTTTTTTCCAATAAACAAAACACTGGGATGCAATTGTTAAAGTTCTGTAACATAATCTTTTTTTTCCTAAAACAAAATGTACAAAATTTACATTTCCTCGTGTTCATCCCTCAAAAAGCTTTCCTTTTTGAACTGATCACGTATACCAGCTTCAATATCAGCTGCATGCCTGAAACTGATTAAATGAAACACCTGACATGATAAATCCTAACTTTTCCTCTTAATCAAACTTATTTTATCGAAAAATCGTTTACGAACTATAGAATGTGACGAAATAATGTTTGAAGAACCAGATATTCACAAAAATGGTAAAATTAACATCTGAGCTTGACGTCCTTCAGAAAGTTTGAGCATGCCTCCTCCTCGTTGCCGAAATGGATCATCATCCATAGCTATAAATTCTGCTGCAAGCTCTTTACCTAGCGCACATTCCACAGCATTTAAACCATTTTTGCGTTCACGACTTTCTTGTAACTCCTTCACGCCTTCCAATCTACGCCTGAGATTTTATTAACGATATTTCTTCACTTAACGCTCAATACACAAGGAACAACATAAAGTAAACATTACGCTCATGTTATAATTTGCCATTTCCCACCAAACGCCTGACATTCTTTCACACAAAATAGATTGAAATTATTTACAGCATTTTTCACTAGTAAAAAACGGTCTTTCAGTGAAATTGAAAAATGAATAAATTTCGAATACGAATACTTCTATCATGTTTAAAGCATGCGATATTACGTTATTTCCATATCTTCTTCACCATCGTTTCCTGGGTCAACATCCAAATGTTTGCGTAAACTCCGATTCTTTTTGGATGATTTTTTGAACAATGACATGCAAAACGTTCTGCTCCCAATTCTTTCGGAAAAAAAGAGACTTCACTGAAGTGTCAAATTCAGATATGAAAATTCTAATAAAATCTTTCTCAGCTATTTTCGTACAATTTATATTTTCAACATTAAATTTCTTTTAATCGAAAAAATTTGTGACATTCCTAGAAAACAATCAGTTAACTTCTTGACCAAAAACATGCGACTGAGGATTCTTCCAGAATATATCAAACTGCCGGACACTCCTCAGTAAACAAAAAATAAAACAAAATACCTAACAAGAAATTCCAGCCCTCGTTTGCGAGTTATCGATTGGCTACTTGTCTACATGAACCAGCAGGGTTGGGAGTTGAATTGCTATTTTTCGTCACGTGTATCTTGTGACCTGCTTAGTGTTTTATTATATTGGGTTGCATGTCTTGATTGGTTGTGTGTAGTGTGTTGTCGTTTCGCGTAATAACATACATGACAAATTTCTCGATAAAAGAAACTGTTTGATGGCTCGCTATTATATGATAAAACAAGTCTTTCTTTTACTTTTTCATGATGTTAGCGTGGCATGTACGTGTGACAGCAGAAGTTGTAGGACCGTCATACTCTTGTGTTATTTGAATTTTTGATTGTAAGGAAGGTTTCTGCTTCGTTAATCATTTACTTTGGATAACGTTGTATTTCATTGTTTTCAATTTAAGTCCTATATTATTCATTATTTGAGTAGGTGCAAGGTATGTAGTTTTTTGCAGATTAGTAATGACTACATCATTATTGGACCGAGATTTTTCGCCGCCAAACTCGTTCAAGGAAGCCGGAGGAAATGACCGATGGCGATTAAAAAGTGAAGTGGCAGAAGGTGACCGGTGGAGATCGAATAGTAATTTAGAAAGTGGTGCTAATGCTGCTGACCGATGGTCACGGCGTGATGCTGCTTCAGATCGTATTAGTGCTGCGCAACGTCGTGGTGTTAGTCGTGATCGTAGTCCCCGAAAACTTCGGGATAGAGGTAAGGAAGTGTAAATCCCGTTCGTAAACTATCCATTTCGTTGTCGACGTTTTCATTTTCATATTCACTCTTTGGTGTAAACATCGGGATCGGAAGTTGCTTTTCCATCATCGATATTCATTGGCGTTACATAATGAATTTTACAATTTTGCAAAACTTCTCAAAATAGTAATGAACAGTTTGGGATTTTCTCAGCTTTGAAATATTACAATTGTGTGCCGCGCGTGCCGGCAAACTTTTTTGATGATTGTTACGTACCTATCAATACAACTACTTCTTTCACTTCCGATGTACCATCTCGTTTTTGCTGGTTGACACGTCTCCCACATAGCAAAGGCAACGGTTTTTTTTTTCCATTATCGTGGAGTCTTATGTCAGAAGTTTCTGTCGTTTCATATTCGCTATTTCTCACTTACAAGTGGTTGTCTTCGAAAGAAATTCAACATCTGCATATCAATTTTGGAAAAAAGTTTCACAATTTCGGTAAAATTAATGTGAGAAAATGGTGTTAAGCGCTGAATCGGAATTTTTTCGGTGTGTGCTGCTAGGCCATAGATTGCTTTCTGCAAACTTTGTACATCATCTTTTTCTTCACTTGTTAATCTGAGGATATCTCCTTTGTAATATTGTTTCCCTCAACATTTCTGAGACGATAACGTTGGATTTCTTCCGGCACAAATTTAGATGTTCGTCGAGGTGGTTCTGGAGCTGCACGTAATGACCGAATGGTTTATATCGCAAACATTCCGTATGATGTACGTTGGATGGAATTAAAAGATTTGGTTCGAGAAAAAGCTGGTGAGGTATGATCTCTTTTCTTGAGCTTGTCTTTGACTCTTTTTTCTGCAAACATTCTTTGTTTGCGTGCAAAGTTACTATTGTTGGTTCTTTTGACATGTAGTTGCACCTTCTTAGTAATTTACATACGCATATATGAAATCGAGTTCAGTTGCAGCTGTCACTTTGCCATAGCTGTGATAGTGTTTGGCTGTGTTACAAATTCTGAAGATTGTGTGTATCATTGAGCTTCACAAGAGTGAGATTGAATTGTGTCACTGGGCAGTATGTTCCTAGAAATGTGGATTGATTTTGCAAAATTTAGCAGACTTGAATTTCATTTATAAAACGACCTATTTATTCAATTTAGCGTTTCATCTGCTTATACACTTTGCAAGAGTGAATTTTGAAGAGGTTCACAAATTATGCTGCAACACAGATTGAACTCACGTGCTCTGCATCTAGACGTATTTCAGTGACTTGGAATTTCATCAATCCAATCAGATTTTCCGTTTTTATCTCCCGCAGTGATTTAATACTTTTAATCTACATGTAAATTCCTGAATATAGAGTTAAACGTGATTGTGGACGCAGTGAATACTCTATTACTAACTTGAGTTATATTCTTGAACACAGAAATGTTTGTGGTTCTTTAGGTCAATTTTGTGGAGCTTCTAGAAGATCGTAAAGGGAAGTCAAAAGGTGCAGCAGTTGTTGAATTTCGAGAAAAAGAGTCAGTACAGCGTTGTGTTGATGCTTTACATCGTTATCCAATGAATGATCGTTTATTAACAGCAAAAGAAATTCGAGTTAATATTTTGTGTCTCATTATTTCAATAATCTGTTCTTATCCATTGTCTGGTAAAAAATAAGAAAACTAAAACCTTTTTTATGAAATAAAAGTAATCTATTATTTTTTATGGTTTTTGTTTTTATTCTGTGGTAGATTATCGGCATTATCAAATTTCGAAATCTTTTATTCAAATTTGTTATTAGTGTTGTGTTTTACAAGTGGTGGAATTACTTTTCAACAGCTGGCAGAGTTTTTATATCAAAAATTAGTAATCTAATTTCTTTCGTTTCATTTCTATTGTATCACTCATTTCCGTACAGATTGTTTATCTTATTTGAAAATTTTTAACTGAACAAAATTTTGAGGATCCTGTTGCATTTTTTCGAAAAGTCAAAGAAGATACAGGAGTTGATTTTTTGAACGGCCTTCATGGTGGAACTGCTGCTTCTAATTTGGATACTCGTAACCGTCCAGATGAACAATATGAAACGTTTGGTTTAAGTCCTGCATTTCTGCGACAACTTCATATTACAGGACCACTGAGCAATCGTGTTTTTGTATCAAATGTTAGTCTCATATATTACTTAGCAAAGCCATTTTTTCTTACAGATGGTCATTTGTTTAGAATTTCAAGAGATTTTTTTTTCATCATTCAGAAGAAAAACCATAATTCAGCTGCCATACAATGTACAAAGTGGACGAATAACAGATTATTTCACTTTGGCTGGTAAAGTTACGTGGGTTGATCTTCAACTAGACAAGGAAGGTCGCAGTAAAGGCATGGCAATTGTTCAGTTCACACATCCAATCGAGGCTGTGCAAGCCATTTCAATGTTGAATAATCAACGTGTTTTTGACCGGCAGATCAATGTTAAAATGGATAAGTTTGATCCAGTTGATGAACGGAAGGAAGGGGAATTACCAATGGGTTTACGAGGAGTGGGTATGGGTTTGGGTGCTAATGGTGCACCGTTAGGGGATGTCTCCTCCATCATTTCATCGCTCACTTCTTCAACAGCACCTCATAACTCTTTTGATAGTTCATCGACTTCATATACTGGTCAGAGTACATATCAGAGTGCTCCCGGAGCAAGTCTACAACCAAGTAATATTTCTTCAATTTTACCATTTTCTTCTACCTACAACGTATCTTCGACATCTTTGTCAGCATCTTCTTCTGCTTATTCTGCATTTGGAAATGCCAGTGGTTTCAGTGCATCTCGTTCGATCATTATCAAAAATGTAGGTTTTGTCGTGTTAGCGAATTTTAAAAGCACAGTGTTTTCATTTAAGTGGATTTTTTAAAATTTCATTATTGAGAAACATTGCAAAATTCTTTATGTATTTTTTCAAGTCTAGTTTTTGTCTGTGCCAGAAGTTAATAATCTTTCAGTCAGTATATTTTTAGCTGCCACTGGATTATACATGGCAGATAGTGCGTGATCGAGTGCAACAGTTTGGTCCCGTAGATTTGACTGAAATGATCGCACCAGGCTGTGCTAAAGTTACGTTTGCTATGGCTACGGATGCAGAGCGTGCTCGCAAATCGCTTCAAAATACTACCGTCGAAGGTCGCATAATTGGCGTGGAATTCTTGGCATAAAAAAATGTATCTTGTAGAATGAGCATTATTAGTTCTATTTTCAGTTCTTATTTTGCTTCTTTTTTCAATATCATATTATAGATTATTTGGTCAAGTATTTTTTTTTAGTTGTAAAATAAAGAGATGTGTAAGCAAGAAATGTTCTGAAGAAGTGTAAACTCATGAAGTCATATCTGGTATTGCAAGTTCTTGGTATATTCATCAACATCTACTTATTCAGCCAATCCTTTTTACTAAAAAAATTTAGTAATTGTAACTTGTTCGTTACAAAAAAAATCTTTTTCGCCGTTTTATTTTAAATTTATTTTTGTCCTATTCTTAAGTACTTTTATAACTGTTTTAAACACTCCTATTTTATTGAAAATTTCATTTCTCATTGGTTTTTGTTGCTATACAATCTTTGTTCCATTAGTGATTCATTGAATTCTAGCAGCTAATTCACATTCATAAGAATTGTAAATATGATTTGAAAAACACGAACGATTGTTTATTATTGTCTTAATTTTTAAGACTAGTTGGTAGAATTACAATTTTAAAAAAAGTTGAAGCAATAGCGCAGTGGATGTGTGCATGTGCTAGTTGGTTTTGTTACCTTGGTCAGAAATAACGATTTTGTATTGGATTTAAAAAATGAAGTAAAGGGATTGTATTACAAGTGAAGTAGAAAGGTGTTCTCTGCTATGCTCCAAAAGTGAAATTGAGTAAAGGAATGGTGGTGTGAGGCATTGATCTTAAATTTGGTACTGGGGATGATTTATCTTATGGTAATTTTGGAATGGCTACAGTTATAAGAGTTTCGGGTTTTCTGAAAAATAGTCCTGTGGAAAGGGGTGCAGCAAGCATATTTTCGGATTAATCCACCAGAGGATTTTGGATGTAGGTAAAGGTTACGATCAAATTCGCCTGGTTATTGTTGTGCAACATATGGTAGCAAGTAAATATCGTGTTGGTATTTGGTTTGCGTTACTCAATCATTTTATAGTGTTTACTCTAGTCTTAGAGAGAATCGAAAAGAGTTTTATTAAAAATTATTATTGCTTGCAATTTGTATCAGTCATCAAGGATCGATCACATGGATGCCGATGAAAGAGCTATTTCCAATTATGATAATTATCCTCTAAGTATCAAGTTTACATGTAAATAGATTTTTAAGAAATATAGACCAGTACTTAACAGTTATGCGATCCAAGCCGACACCTCTCAAGATAACTGCTTCAAGTGCAGTCTTTTCTTTACTGCGTAAATACCATATCCATCTTGTAGGTCGGGTATCTTTTTAGTAGAGAAAAGACTGAGGTTTGATCATTTTCAAATTATTTCTTACAAATTTTTCTTAAGTTTTGTCATTTCAACTCTGATTCAATTCTCAATTAGTACATGTTTCTGTCCATGAATTTGTTTCATTTTTACAGCGCTTTCTTGACTGTTAATTTGTCTTTCTTTCCGTATTGGTGTTAACATGGAATCTCGGATTTTTGAATGGTACTAAAAAATTTTTCTTAAAATTTTCTTAAATTATTGTCATTTTATCATCTGTTCTGATATTAATGAGCAGATGATAAAATTTTTTTTAGTTTAATAAATTCTGATACTAGTGCTATACAAATGCAGCAAGATATAGCATTAATATCAGAATTTATTAAACTAGACATTTTTGAATCAGTGCAAGTGGTTATGTCACTAATTAATATCATCTCATTTTATGCACTATAATCTTAATAAAAATCATGCGTTTTTTGCTTCAGCTTTTGTGTGAAATAAGAAAGCTATCACACTGCAGTACCATTTTAAAAAGTGATACTTATAGAATCTTATATTCTTATTTTCTATTTTTTCATTTTTACTATAGAAATTATTTCTGGAAAGTTTCGATTTATAATTATCTAAAGAATAAGCGGATAGCCATTTGTTATAGAAGCAATTGGTTCCATAATTAATCATTTTTGGAGATATACAATTACTTGATTAATGTAATATTATTTTGCAGTTCTTTTTGGAAATCTCTTACTTTTGGAAGTTAGGAATTTCGGATTCTTGTCTTTTGCTAAGAATAAATAATCACTGATTGAAATCTATTTCCTAAATAATATTCGGTTCTCTGCCTTTCGATTACTTCATTAAAAATCTCATTGCTGATATGCTTGCTTCTTTGTATTTTCCTAAAAAGTAATTTGTGCAGGAAATAAGGAAAAGAAAAGAGTAATATTGTTAGGAGACAAAGGCTGTTGTGTGCGAATGCTTGTTGAATATAAGTAAATATTACATCAACAATTACATAAACATCAAGCGAATTGTCTATGCGTTTTAAATTTGGAAAGAAAATTGGATCAAACAGTTTAAGGATTTGATTGCTCGTTGACAAATAGATTGAATAATAGAAGAAAGAATAGGAAGAGCGTTTTTTAAAGGGCAGAAGTAGACTGAGTTGAGTGTAGGTAAATTGAGTTAGAATGATTTTCAAGGCAAACAAGGCAACAACCTTGTCAGCGAAAGGAACCTCAAGTTAGATTGAACGAATAGCAAAAGTTAACCTAATCATTCCCTAAACGCCACTGTTCCAAATGTACTAATTTTTAGGCTGAATTACATTTTTTACTCCCGAACTTGCAGAGCAGCTCATTTTTTTGATTCTTTTTTAGGTTTTTATTCTAATTTGAGTCAAAGTTTCGTTGAAAATTAGTGAAAATGGTGTCGTTTTAGAAAAAGTACTACAAACAAGTCAATTAGTTGACTTCATGTAGTTGTTGATATCTGTTTATTTTTTGTTTTTTAGAATAAAAAATTTTGATACACAAGTACAAGTATTATTTTGCTTGGAAAAGTTAGTAGGTAAGCTGCCTTAATAGCAGGCACTGGTGATAGTTCATTTTTTATATAAGAGAAAGCATATAATTGGAAGTCAAAGTCATAATATCCTAGAAAATATAAGAGAACTAATTAAAGGAGAATATATGTGAGAGATTTAAACTAAACATCATGATGTTTACTCAGCAGTTTTCTTTATTTACTGAGCAAGGATTGGAAAAGTCAAGGTTTGGAGATTTATCATGGGACTGAATTTCCATAAGTTTGTGTGCCATCTTGGTAGCCTTTTTATTCCAAGTGATCTGGAATTGCTGATCAGCTTCTTGGTTTTGTCTTTCAACTCTCATAATTTTCATTTGGATCTATAGAAGACGAATCATTTCAATTAAAAAATTATTCAGTGTGCATTTGCTCTTTTGCTTGCTCGCAAAATACATCCAGTGTTTATTTGTGTTGCAAATTCATTCATTTGTTTACCGACCAACTCTTGATGCTGTATTGTTTGCCTGCTTTCACCAAGACAAAAGGTAACATTGTTGTGCATCATATGTCTAACAACTAACTGACTGTCTTATAACTACCGCATCGAATATACCAATGCCTTCTCTCACTGTGCAACAATGAAAAATTTTGAATCAGTCCATTATGTAAAATAGGCAAAACACTACTCAATCCTTCAATTCATTTAAAGGTAACAAAACAAATTTTGCTCAGTCATTTAAAAAAGAAAAGTCAGTGTTTGTAAATCATTCAGAAGTAATTACTGCTTTCGAATACTCATTATGTCAATATTTGCTGTTGTTGCAAATTCAAATTAAGAAGTGAAGAATGAGCACAATCTAAATGAAAGTCATTTTAGTATACCTATTATGCAGAGTATGCTAGCATGCATTGTACCCCTCAATTTAATTTTAAAAATTCTTTACTCATTTCATCGTTTAGAAGCCGTAAATCATATTTTTTGCTCTTTAAAACTTTAGCATGCACATGAAGTCGAAGTTTAAAAAGCGTTTAGCTGTTTACTGTTTTTGCTATTACTATTCAGCTTTGTAAGATTAGTTCAGATCGAGAAAGTTTGTTCGGTTGCACTCCAAGATTTATTCTGAGTCGTTTTTTGTGCATTAATAAGATTAGGCAAATTGTTTGGGAAACAACGGCTAGCTATTTCTGGAACACAAAGAATTATGTATGCTTAAACTGCTAAGATTTACATGGTCAATATGAAAAGATAATTGCTGTCACACGGAAGCTAATGACAGTTTGTGCATTAGCCATGTTTGATCGGACAATTAAAATCTCTTACATTTATGCACAACTTTTTATTTTCTCTCCTTGCCTTTACATCAGTATTACTATGTAACAAACATTAATTAAGTCTCATCGGGTTGATATATATTAATCATACGAACTGAAGCATTTGATATTACATATCATTACTTGATTTCCACAACTTTAAATATCAACACTATGCTTAGGAAATCGAACTTAAACAATTCTTCTTGCGATTTCATTTTGTTATGCATAAATGCAAACAATTCATAAAGCTTCTAAGATACATAAGACTTCAGCACTATGTTGTTACTTTTTTGAACGAATTTCCATTGAAGGTAAAGTTATCAAAAAGTTGTGAACATTTTTGCATTTTAAATGATGGCTCAAAGGTGATTTGGGATTAACAATCAAGTTTAGTTGGCATCAAAAAGTTAATCAGTGATAATGGCATCTGCCACGTCTGTATTCTGGCAAGGAGTCGTTTGTTTGCCAGCAGTATTGTTATTCGACTTGATTTGCCAAATTAGCTTCTATAACTAAATGTTATTTTTCAAATCATAGGTATTTTTTGCGAGTTTTCAAATTTAGATAACTATAATGATAGCAAATGTTTGTGAAAGAAGTTACAAAAAATAGATGAGATTTTACAAATCGGTACTGTTCACAATTAAATCAATAAGCAATTACCAATTACCAGTGTTGTCTGCATGCAACTTAAACAGCGTATCCAAGGACGAAAATTTGCATAAACATTCTCAAGTATTCATTTATTGGTCATAATTGCAGTGTGTCATTCTAATGTACATTTCTGTACGCTTCGCTACCTATGTCTTCTCTTTGCTGACATCTCAGGCATAGCTGCGAAAAAAGGAGGTGAAAGGTCATAACTGCAGTAAAAGACAGTGAGAAGTAAGAATAAATTCTCTTGTAAATATTTATGATTTCCTGTTAAGAATTGACTAGATTTCACCACACTTTGCATGAAATAACTGTAACATATTTCCTACCAATAATTCTCAGCCTGTGCAAGAAATTCATAAAAAATCAATGTCCCTTATCTTCCTGTCCATAAATATTTGTTTGAAGCAAATATTATATTGGTTTGTTGATAGAAGTTGACAATATCCCCTGGTTCAAAGCCGAATTACTGCTCAAAAATGAGTTTTTCAATTTTTTATCAATTAAAATCATTTATTACTGACAAAAGTAGCACATATATTCCTTGTTCCGGATTTGTGGAAAGGTAAATCTTAAATTTTGCTTTTTATTGAATTATAAAAGTCGCATTCCCATCGGTTAAAGAAAGTTTATATTATGAGGAAACATTTTTTATTAATGAGTACATTAAAGTTTGTGCCTTTAGATATTTACTTTTTAAATTGTTCATTAAAAGTGCCAGTGGAACGATTTAGTGTTGCAATAAACAGCTGATTGTAATTTTCTTTCTTTGATTCTACTGGGATCATATTCTGCAAAAAGCAGTCCATTCAGGCTAATCGAATCAGAAGATTCAGTTGTTACATATGTTTCATTTTGAACTAAAACTATTTCTGAAAACTTTTCATTCTTAAATATTAAATGGAGTAAATCTTCAGAATATTTTACTGATATGGATCAAAATTTGCTAAATAAATTTGTTTAGTCGGCTGAGAGATAAGTTAATTGACTCAGTCCTCTTTGCACTGATTTTACAATCAAAATTATTGGAAAAACAAATTAATCAGCTGGAATCATAGCGTATAATAGCGTATAAGTTTATCCTTCAGATTTTAAAAAAATAAAGCCCTGTAAGGCTAAAATAGCTTACATCAAATTAATAAAATTATTGGTGCAGTTATTGAAATATAGCGATTTTGCACGTTGAGGTTATTCAATAATGAATAATTGAAATTAGTAACTAATCAACGTATCATGATAGCAATCTTTGATAAATTCTTTCAAAATGAAGAAATGACACTGTTTGTTGAAGCTAAGTAGAAGAAAGCCAGCACTGTTACGCACGACTTCATTTTTTCGTTGTATTATTTGTATGATTGGAAAAACTTCTGATTTTACTTTTTTAAAAGTTTCTGAGTCTGTAAAAACCTTTTCTAAATCCCATGAAATCATTTGGCCATAATTTTTGTAGTTAAATTAAATTGCAAAAAAAGTACAAAAAGTATCAGATCGAAAAAACAGACGAAATGTTAATCTACTTTTTCAGACGTTTGGCTTACTGCACTTTTTGCAAATAAAGCTTTATTAAAATAAGAAAACTCATATCAAAAAATGCAACACGAAAAGAAAATTGACATTGTCTGGTCATTCTAATACAAAATTATCTTCAACTATTTATATCCTTTTTAACTTTGTAGAGTTTCGATAATTGCTTAATTTTCGTGTTCTCTCTTTGGAATCACCTTCTATCTTCAGTATTATTATCATCATCATCAACATCATCATTCATAGCTACCATATAGTAGGCCATCACTCTTACACTTAAACCATCGCCATCCCCATGATCATAATCACTTGTGCATCCTTGCGGAATTAGAGCTATTTTACTTATAGCCACTATCAACATCATATTACGATGTTAATATCACTGTTAGGTGAGACAAATTTTACATTTTTTTAAATAAATTGTATTTCACTAACTTTTCCTTTGTAGTATCTAATTAATTGATGATCGACTGATTTACTAACTGACTAACTGATAAATTGGCTGGTTAATTGATCAAGCAGATATGTTGCTATCATATTTATGAGATTTGAATGTTCGTAAGCTGTCAGAAGTGAACCATTTATTTGCTTGTATTATTTTACAAATGACTTAAGGTCTTTCTTTATTTTTTAATCACAATTTTTGTTAAATAAATAACATTAGAGATAATGGTTACCACGTTGTAAGCATTTTTTGGTTTGGAATAAAATCTTCAGTATGGCATAATTTTCTAATCACTGGTAATCACAGTTTTTTTGATATGAGTTTTCTTATTTTAATTTCGGTCGCTACACAGTGTTAACTTATTGTCCTGATCAATCTTTCGGTATTCATTTATTTGTATAGATGCAAATTGATCCATCAAGTAATAAGACCGCTTCAAGTAAATCTTCTAGAAAAAAACTTCAGGCTATGGAGCTGTTTGGTTTTCAAGATTTCTCGAGTATATCATTACTCCAAAACGAAGCAAAAGTACCTCAGAAACCGTTTTTACATTGTCAACAGTCGCAAGAACCAGCACAGATATCTTTTGATGATCATCAACAACCAAAATCTTCACAACCTTCTTATATTGGTCTCATTGCAATGGCAATTTTGAGTTCCCGAGAGCAAAAAATGGTACTTTCCGAGGTGTATCAGTGGATTACGGCTAATTATCCTTGTTTTCGAACGCGAGGTCCGGGCTGGAGAAACTCTATCAGGCATAATCTTAGTTTGAATGACTGTTTCGTTAAAGCGGGCCGATCTGCAAACGGCAAGGTGAGAACAAATTAATTTACAAGTATTGATCGAATATGAAAAAGTGCTACATCTTAGAGTTCATTCCAGTTCTGAAATTATTTTCATTAATTAAATTGTTGATAATGAATAGGAGATCAAAAAGCGCAAGTTAAATTTCGTTTGAAAAGCAAGTTTTTGATCCTTTTGCTAGTCAGAATCAGCTCTGCTTGTTGCTTGTCGTTCATTATCAAGTAAATTGATTGCTTTGTGTATAATTCGAACTTCAACAACACTTTCCTACTAAACTTGTGTGCTTCACATGTCCACAGTTCTTGCTTCAGTATTTTTGAAATAAGACTGAAAAAAGACTTGTGCTCTTTTTTGCAAACAAATACTTCAAAGACAATTAAGCACTTTTTTGAATTTACAAACGGAACTGAAATTTCTGAAGTTTTGTACATTCAAGGGACACTATTGGGCCATCCATCCAGCTAACTTGAATGATTTCAAGAAAGGCGATTTTCGGAGGCGTCGAGCACAAAGAAAAGTGAGAGTAACAAATTACTATGTTTTTCAAGTTACTTTTTCAAAATTTCAGGTCAATTTTTAGTTAGCTTTACAATTACGTGCCTGTGAAAATAATAATTCAGGTACGACGACATATGGGATTACTGGTAAATGAAGACGACTGTTCTGATGATAGTCCCATCAGTACACCAACACCAATTAAAAAATCTTTCATGATTGAATCCATTTTACGACCAGAGTTCCCGCAAACTTCCTTGTCACCATTCACATATATGGTAATACCGTTACCGCTGCAGTATCACCACTACAAGAATAATTTTTATGTTTAGCTGTATTGTAATTATGACTTCACTTCCATAATTGTTATTACAATTGAATACTCCTACGTGTAAATCACTTCGGCGTTACCATATTGAACGATAGTATGACTGAAATTCGAAAACCGATTACATTATCAATTATTCACTATGAAATTTATTTGTGCTGAATAGGCGCACAAGCTCTCTCGGAGTGGTCACTAAAAATATTTTTGAATTCATCTTTATTGTCATATTTTTTTACAGCATTTTTATCCTTATAATTGTGATAACTTCGTAATCGTGTACTTTACAATGACGAAGCATTTATGATGATAAGCTCGCATCTATAAATCCGGAACTCGTTTGGTCCATATGACATAACACTCCTTTTTTATGTATAGTGACATCCATGAACGAGCAAGTATTTCTCGATTTCATTGAAAACGATCAGCTCAAGTAGTGTTGAAATGTGAATCACTCCAAGTGCATAAAGTGTGGTTCACATTTATTGCATTTTTCATGTTGGCTGTTTTTGTTTTGAATTCCCATATATGGTACCTGAGAAATAACGTTCTACATTAACTTTACAAGAAAAAACAAAAAGTGTGATGATAATATAATAATGGCTGCATATCACATAAATTAGATTCTGCTGTTATGCAAAGAAAATGTTCAAATTAACAGGTGCTAGTACTTTCAAAACAAGGACTTGGTATTGAATTTATTCTTGAAAATATTCATTATGGTACCCTGATGATACTTAATAATATTAGTATGGTCCATCTGCACCAATACATTTAATGCATAGAATACTATCATAGTGATTACCATACATAGCACTACTTCAATCTTTTTTAGTTCACTTGCAACATTATTATTTGGCAAAAATACTTGGAAATAATTTTTATTATGCATCTAAATTATTAGCCAAAATATAAATCTTCAATATAGTTTTAAGCATATGGCTGTATAATCTTAGTAAACAAAAAATTTTTCAACTGTTTCTTCCCAAGCAAAACAAAAACTTCGTTTTACAATCAATTTTGAAATTCAGAAAAATAGATCATAAAGTTGTAATGTCAAAAAAATTTATATAAAAAGAATTTACAACAATTTTTCTATATAATAAAGTGATGCTCCACTTTAATGTATGAACAAAAAGATTGGAAATTTAAAACTAGGGTATTTGAGATGGTTGCGCGATTGAGTAAAGGTTTAGCAAACGTTTAAAATTCACAGAAATTTTCAAATGAGTTATCCAAAAACAAAATAATTTAGTACTCAAATTCATCCATTATCTTGATTGCGAACAAATGAATATTTATCATTACTTTTACTGAACAGTTTTAATCTTACTTTACGTGTGGCTGTAAAGCTTGCAGCTGTTAAAAAAAAGGACTACCTGATTGGAAAAATTAAAAAGACTTATGAAAAATTTATTATTTAATAACTTTGAATAAGAAACTTTGCTTTTTCCAAGTTTTCTTCTGCATTAGCATTTGATGCTTTTAAATTCAACTTTAATTAGTTGTTTTCCAATTAGCAGATATAAATTTTGCTTGCTTTGAGCAAAAAAGTGTCCTAATCATTTTTTCGAACAAATGAAATGATATTTTTGATTATATTCTCAAGATGAGCTTTGTTTTAAAGCCTTTTAAGGGATAAATAATGTCTGCATTAAGGTTTCATGGAAATGCAGTCAAAAATATAAACTTGTATTACCACAAAAAAATCTTGAATTTTGGATTTTTTCATGAATTATTCTGAATTTGGCCAAATAAACCGAGTCTTAAACATCCATACACTTTATTCATGCAAATAATTTACATCTGAATAATTGTAATTTTCATATACTCTATTCATCGACTGAAAAATATTCTGTCTCACTTCAAATGAATATTCGGATATGATTGAAATGAATAATGTTTTCTAAAGCAACTGCCATTTTTATATATTTGAAATACTAAGTTCTATTTGTCAAATAAAGAAGCTCTTTCAGAAAATTTGAAATTTGTTTTCAGTTTGCTCTTTGACGATTTAAAGTAAGCTTTGATCAGCAAGTTCTATTAAATGATATTTTAAATTTATTCAGAAATTAAATTTCTCTTCACGTTTTTTGAGTAAGATTAATAAATCCCTTTATTTATTCTGTTTTTATTCATTCTTCTACATTTTGATGAAATCTTTGTGCGAAATCCAAAACTTTGTTTCACTTTTATGATAAGTACAATGAATTTGTCAAGATCGAAAATATGAAGTTGAAAAATACTAAAAAAAGTTATGCCTTTAAAAGTTTTTAACTGTTTAGTGCACTTTCAAAGGAAATATACGAACAAAAATAATGTGCGACTAATTAAGCGTAAGAAACATTACTTGAATTCGACACTGCTTGAGTTGAATTGATTATTTTGATCAATACTTATCAATACTTATTTTGATCATAATCTAAAAATACTTGATAAAAAATGATTACTTTCAGGAATGAAAATAATTCAATATTTTTTTATTATTTGATTTATATTTTGTAAAATGCTATGTAATTGAATAGAAAGTACAACTATGAAAAAACTGTGAAATAATTTGCCAAATGGCAGCAACTTCTAAGAACAAAAATCTCAGTATTTTCAAATGAATATCTTTTTTAATGCACATGTATTTATATTTACTTGATATTTTAATTCCTTCACGAACTAATTATAATGCCATAAATTTTAATTTTTTTATTTTGCTGGTTGTAAATGAAAAAAATACATAATGGCACATTTTTAATTTGTATGTAACAATAACTATTTTTTTTGAAATCTGAAGCCTGAAAATAAAGTGAACTTTTGGTCCATTGACTATGAATAAATCTTATATTATTGAGCAACTATAAGTCGACAACAAATACAAATAACAAAAATAGCAGACATGACGATCAAAAGTAGAATCATAATTATTCGAAAGTTTGATAATATTTATATGAGTAAATGTTGCTAGAAAATTATCAGTCATTTCATTATAGGCCGGACACACGTGTTAATAGTATTCTGACTATATTATAGTTAGATACATTTATACATTTACTCATACTCATTTACTCATTTACTATCTATTACATCCATCTTTTTTCAAAAACAACTTCTATATTATACTAATTTTCACTAGCGAAATTGGTTCTAAAAATAACAAATGCAACTTGAAATTTACGCTAATATAAGTTTTCATGCAAATAATTAAGGACATAAAAAATTAAGGAAATAATTAAGGAATATGCAAATAATTATTCATGACAAAAGATTAATAATAGAAAGTCAGAGAATAAATATAAAGAGAATCAGTTGGTATAAGTAAAAGAAAAAGATTCTGTTAAAAGGTGTTATCAGGTATTGCTAACGAAGAAAAAATTACTTTAAACGATTGAAACCTAAAGTAGGAAACTTGACAAGGTTATTAATGAGGGGGTAAAAAAATAGTCTTAAGATATGGAAATTTTAAGCAAGTCAATAACGTACTTGCTAAATTTTTCAAAATAGCGAGCTCAAATTGCTGAAGCTGTAATAATCAAACGTCATGAAATATTGTCAAAATAGATTTGCGATAATTAAGGATTATTTTTAAATTTTGAATCCATTCTCTATAAAAGCATCATTAAGAAACAGCGAATATGTTGGTATAAATAGATTTGAGTGTGCTAAAAAGAAGCTTATTTGAAAAATCAAATTATATGGTGTTAACAACCTCGAGAGTACTTTAAAGTCTTGATTTCATGTCAGAAAAGTGTTGGATCATTCGCGTGGACTATTGTTTGGCAAGTAAATATGAGTAGATTCTTATAAAACTAATATGGACATGTTTTATTTGAATTTTTCTCACTACAATTTATATTTTTCCTTTCGTATATTATTAAGTATTTCATTTGAATCACTTTGCCATCAACAAATAAAATGTGCTTTAAGCAAGCTCGATAATTGATAATAAGAAATTCGACAAATTTTGACATAAAAATGATTGAAAAGTAGCAGAGTAAAATGCACTGAAACACATTCACAAATGCATAATTGCTAATCAACCACGAACTTCCTCTGTACATAAACCGTTCATTATTTGAAGATATCTGTTCTGTTTAAATAAGAAGACTTCATTCTCCATCATCAAAAAGCGAGAAATCAGAGCGAATTCGTCTTACTTTCATCGTCTATATGATTCGTAATATAAGGATGAAGATCAGTTCGAGATTAATTCCATACAGTTTATTGCCTCTGTCATACCTATTAGAAAGTTTATCGCACAATAAAATATTTTTTCATCTATTTCTTGTCTTGATCTGATAAAATTGCGAACTCTGAGCTTGAAATTTTCAGCATTACATTTTAAGATTTAAAATGGAAGAAGGAGTCGTGGACTTGAGCTAACCGAAAGTATAATATTGCTGTATGGAAATATTCTATACACAGTAACTTACACAATGCTGTCGTATAAAAACAGCTCTTAAGAGTAGTTTAGTCGCACTTTTATTATTGAAAAAAATGAAATACATTTGCATTAATGCTTTCAATCAAGTTAATTTTTGCTAGATGTAGTGCACTTATTAGCGATTGAGCATGAAGTCATATGTAATCATAAGAAGCACAAAGTAGATTAATTATGTTTAGTGCAAACAAACAGCGACGTTGAAATGAACGAAGTCGCCGAATTTGAAATCAGAATTGATTACATATCTTACGAATGATTATAAACTCAAATAGAATCAGTCATTGACAATGCACACATACATTGTAATTTTGAGTTTTGTTTAATAAAAATTTATTAGCAAAATTCTTCAATCAGATGTGTGAACTCAAAAAGCATTCCTGAACAATAAATCACTTAGAAAATTAATCTCAAACCAATCAAATAAAACTTAAGTTCAGTTGATATCAAGTAGTGTTATCAGATATCAATTTCAGTACAGAGCATGGCAAATACAATAACGCACCAATGTTTAACTTTGCGCTAAATCATTCTTGAAAGATACTTTTCAACGTAAAAAATAATTCGAAAGTACTAAC